TTTACCAAGTGTATGAATACAGTTCCGGTTTAAAAATACACTACCTCTTTAAGCTGAACCTGTATGGAAACAGTTCCTGGTTTTAAAAACATACCCTGCTTCTTTAAGTCGAACCTATTATAAAATACCCTGGAAGTTTAAACCGAACCTGTATGGAAACAGTTCCTGGTTCAAAAATATCCTGCTTCTTTAAGTCGAACCTGTTATAAAATACCCTGCTCCTTTAAGCCGAACCTGTTATAAAATACCCTCTCCTTTAAGCCGAACCTGTTATAAAATACCCCGCTCCTTTAAGCCGAACCTGTTATAAAATACCCTGCTTCTTAAAGCCGAACCCGAATTAATACGACGTAAATCAACTGTTAACAAATGATACAATCTTTCACAATTAACCGGAATCAACTGATATGTTAAGAGATTTGTGTAGAGCTTTATAATGGCCTGTCGACTATCGTACAATCATTACACCACGAATTCGATATACTAATATTCTCTTTCTCACTTAAAGCGCGTATGGCTCTATTCTTTGGAACCTTGGAATAGTCGGAAATGGTTCTAGAAGCACATATTTATTTTAATATTAATGGCATATGAATGTATATGAAGTGCGGTGGCTGATGAGGGACATGAAAAATAATTTTCATTTATTTCATTTACTTTGCACTAAAGTCAATTTTAATATAATTTGTTTTTTTTGCCATTTTCACCGAAGTCTATTATAATTTTCACCTAAGTGATTTTTAATATAATTTGTTTTTCTTAATTTTCAACCCAGTCAATTTTAATATAATTTGTTTTCGATAATTTTTACCCCAGTCAATTTTAATTTTCGCCCGAACCATTTATTCATTTATTTTATGTTTTATAATATTTATAATTATCACCCAAGGATTCAATTCTCTCAATCCAATCCCAAAATTAGTGATAATCTTTGAAAAATTTCCAACTGACAAGGGATCTTTTGTGAGTTTGTGTTGTTAAATTTATAAATTTTAAGATAACTTTTAATAATAATCATTTACAAGACATTTACTTTATATTTGGCGCAGTCAGTAATATGGATTATAGAAACAATCTCAACTCTTCGGGAAATTTTTTTATTGTGTTCGCAAATTCTTGACTCAAAATCAAAACTATATAAGATACACAACTAAGGTTTTTCTAGCACTTCGCCCGCGGTGTTGGCTGAGGAAGTTTCTCGCCTCCATCGAATGTAATATCGCAGACAAGTTGTCTTAGTTTAGTATGCGCAGGATCCTTGCACAGTACCCGGAGTCAACTCAGGAGGTTCAGAAGACCTACGAGCCACATACGCTCACACCAGGGTTCGAAACCACGTCCTCAATACCGAGGCGATCGGTCAGCTAGACCACAAAGCACGATACTCTAGACCACTAGAGAGAGAGAAAAATGGGGTTTAATGTCCACTCGACACAAACTAGGTCATTTCGGGACGAACATATGGTTTTAATTTTATTTCAATAATTCGCTTCCGCGTAGGGGTCTTTAGTAGTGGGAGGAAACCGGAGGACCCGGAGAAAACCCACGAGGATTAGATAGGCGACCCTACTCCTTGTCACGTACAACCGGGGATTAGAAACCACGCCAGTTGACCCAATGACAGGCTTTATGATACAGCGAGCACGTGCAAACCATTCGGCCATCCAACCCCCCACTCTAGACCACTAGAACATCCCCCAACCCGAGCCCCGCCAGTTGAACCCCATTTGATTTCCCTTGAAATACCCCCTTTAGACAGTTAGTTAGATAACAACACCATTTACTCGACAAATTGTTCCTACTCTAGATGTTCGGTGATGATCTCGTTATCAACGTCATTGTTCAACCGTTGATATAATTGGTGAACACGCACAACATAAATACAGTATCTATTTCTGACAATAAAACATCGATTTAGAAATCGAAAGTAGTAATTACATGACAACAGAACTTACACCCAGTAAATTATTCAGATAACAATAGAAATAAATATAGATATTAAATTGTTCTATAATTACTGTGTATGACATTCAAGCAAAGTTACGCATCATGAACATTGATGGTAATTATGCCACCATCACATAAACGTAACGTTTACATGAGAGAGAGATAGATAGAGAGAGAGAGAGAGAGCATTTGCTGGACTCACAAACCAGGAAATTAGGGGTTCGAGAGTTGAACGTCCACTCGGCACAAACTAGGTCATTTTGGAACTAAAATATGGTTTAATGTCATTTCAATAATTCGCATGCGCGTAGGGGTCTTTAGCAGTGGGAGGAAACCGTAGAACCCGGAGAAAACCCACGAGGTTGGACAGGCGACCCTACTCCTCCTCGTCACGCACAATCGGGGAATCGAAACTACGCCAGTTGACTCAATGAGAGACCTTATGATACAACGCGCACGCACGAGCAGTAAGTGAGAGGGGGGAGGGGGGATATGCCCTTTGGACTAATAATTACACTTTGGTGTTTCTTTGTTTACTACAATGTGAGAAAGAGAAATAAAAAGGGGTTAACGTCTACGCGACACAAACTAGGTCATTTCTGGATAACATATGGGTTAATTTTATTACAATAATTCGCTCGTGTTTAATTAGGTAGGGCAAAATTTCCCTCATGTCAAATTTAATGGCGTATTTTATTCCTTCATTACCTAATGTTACATGAACTATTAGACAGAATGAATAAAAACCAAATTACGTTATATAATGGACCGGAGATAGCAAATAATGTCATTACAACAGCATTTCCCTAATTGTAATGACGTTTTTTTAGATCATATCCTGCTAAAATGAATCCCGATCTCTATCATAAATACAAACCTAATCAAACGCTGATGGGGTGATTTACGAATGAGAAAAGAACGAAAATAATTGCAAAAGATAATTTGTCTCAAAAAAAAAGAATAGACGAAGTGTTATAAACGTTTGGAAAAAAACATGGGCCGAGATGTCACTTGTTTATAAAAAAAATAGCTGTAAAAGTTGAACGCGACTTTTCGTACAATCGGGGGCCATAATATAAAATGTAACGATCTGATATGCGTGAATATCAACAGGAACCATGATCTTTGGGTTATAAACATGCATTTCAAGTTTCATCAAAATCGGGTGAAAATTGTGACCTCTAGAGAGTCCACAACTTTGATATACCATATTTTTAAACTATTAGCGCACGAGTGGCGGCCATTTTGTCCGTCAGTTTTGGTCCGATTACGGTGTAACGGTGATATATTCACATGGGTTTTTTAATCGGATAATAATTGTGACCTCTAGAGGTACCACAAGCTAAAAACGCGATTTTCCGTACAGTCAAAGGCCATAATTCAGGAAGTTACGATCCGATATGCGCAAATATCGAAAGGAACCAAGATCTTTGGGTTATAAACTTGTATTTCAGGTTTCATCAAAATCGGATCAAAACTGTGAGCTCTAGAGGGTCCACAACCTTGATATACCATATTTTGTATACTGTTTGCGTACGAGGGACGGCCATTTTGTCCGGCAGTTCTGGTCCGATTTTCACGAAATTCGAACTCAAATGTCATTAAGGTGTAACTGTGATATATTCAAACGGTTTTGTAAATCTGAATAAAATTGTGACCTCCATAGGGTCCACAAGCTAAAAACGTGATTTTTAGTACAATCAGGGACCATAATTCAGGAAGTTACGGTCCGATATGCGCGAATAAGGAAGGGAACCAAGGTCTTTGGGTTATAAACTTACATTTCAAATGTCAACAAAATCAGATAAAAATTGTGACTTCTATAGGTTCCACAAGCTAAAAACGCGATTTTTCGTACAATCAGGGGCCATAATCCTTGACGTTACGATACATGCCAATATCGAAAGGAACCGAGATCTTAGGGAGATAAACCTATATTTCACGTTCCGTTGAAATCGGATAAAAAATGTGACCTGTAGAGTGTCCACAAACAATTGTCGACGGACGTCCGGACGGACTGACAGGGGGGGGGGGGCGACAATATACGTCCCCATAAAAATGTGGGCGTATTAAAATCATAAAGTACAAAAAAAGGCATGGTATTCAACCAAATACATGTTTCTAAGTTTTTTATCTGATTAAATTCGATTAATATGTTGACTTATAGATTACAGCACGAACAAGACATTAATCAAGAATACACGTTATAGAGGCTTTACAATGCCATGTGATAATTATAAAATAATGACTTGTCAATTTACTGACTCTCAAAGAATTACTTCAGTCTATTTCATCAGTCGCCTAATTGTTCCCATGACGTATGCCCTTCATTGTTAATGAAGACGGGCGTACGCTATGCGGGACATCGGTGATACGTCCTGCTCTTATATCGAAATCCAACTGTCAATAGATCTTTTACGTGCACGCCAATGTGTACACGGGACTTCGGTTTTTCGTTCCATCCGAACGACTAGTCAGCTGTACTTCTCATGTCCTGCACCACTGACAAGGGGAAACCATACTGGAAAATCTCGATGAACTTTCTCCCCAGCACCTACTAGCGAGGTAGCGTCTTGCTCACCGAGGCGGGTCTTTCAATGAGTCAAGTGGCGTGGATTCGATTCCCCTCTTGTACGTGGTGAAAAGGAAGAGGGTCGCCTGTCCAACCTCGTGGGTTTTTTCCCTACTCACAAACGAATTATTACAATAAAAATTGAAGCATATCTTAGTCCCGAAATCACCTAGTCTCTCTCTCTCTCTCTCTCTTTCTCTCTCTCGCATCATTATCATCACTATTATTATTATTATTCTTATAGGTATTATCATTACTATTATTACAGATATTATCATTATTATCATTATTACAAATATTTTCATTATTATTATTATTATTATTATATGTATTATCATTATTATTATTATATGTATTATCATTATTATTATTACAAATATTTTCATTATTATTATTATTATTATTATATGTATTATCATTATTATTATTATATGTATTATCATTATTATTATTACAAATATTTTCATTATTATTATCACAGGTATTATGCCATCCTGCATCCTTTACGAGCCAAGTATGTGTGTACGGTTGGAAGAGCGAGGAAAGCAATAATTGTTCTATGGTTTATCTCTATAGTACTGGCAATACCAATACCCTTCTTACAGGTACGTCATTCTCTTATTTGATCGGACGTGGGGGGGGGGGCTGTCCTCCCTGGCAAATGTCCTGGACTAGAAGCTCGGCGTGTACCGAGAAGCTTCGAATGGATGGCAGGGGGAGGGGGGGGGCTGTCCTTTCAACTAACATGTTCAGCATTAGTCTCTATCATCCAGAAAAATATTCTACGAATATTAGCCTCGATGCGTTGTCAACATTTGAGAATAATAGGTCATTGGCTAGATTATCCGGTCTTTTACATTATCATAAACAAAGTCTAAGGGAGGTAACTGGTCCTAAAATACAATATTGACGCCTATGAAATTAATTTAAGAATGCCATTTCAAAAAAGCCATTTGGTTGCATTGTCAGTTCATTATTTAACAATCTCGATAATCAACCACATTAAAAACCAAACTCCCGGTTATGCATTGGCAATGGACTCTTTGTCATATATTGACAACGTTTCCAGACCCTCCGTACATTGCAGACTAGTTGGTTCTGGGTGACCGAGACTATTTCAGAAATCGAAAAATGCCGTGTGCCGAGAAGAGGCTTTGGGAGTTTTCAAGCCCATTTTTCACTTTTCAAGGGTTGCGCCTGCTGGGCTGGCAAGGGTTCTGCGCCTAGTTGTTCGGGTGGTCCTAAGAAAAAGTAGGTTTATCCGTTGTCTAGCCAAATTCTCTCTCTCCCATTGCACACGTAACAACTCCAGTCAATTCCGTGATCTGGGTCACTTTGAAAGGAGAGGGACAGAGAGAGAAATGGGGTTTTACGTCCAGTCGACACAGACTAGGTCATTTCGGGACTAACATATGTTTTAATTATATTTCAATAATTCTCTTGCGCGTAGGGGTCTTTAGCAGTGGGAGTAAACCGGAGGACCCGGAGAAAACCCACGAGGTTGGACAGGCGACCCTACTCCTTGTCACGTACAAGCGGGGAATAGAAACCTCACCACTTGATTCAGTGACAGACCTTATGATTTCACGCGCACGCATTAAACCACTAGACCACCAAAACCCCCGTTTTGGTTAGGGAGCCAGTTGACTTAATCACAGACTTTATGATACAGCATGCACGTGCTAACCATTCGGCCATCCAACCCCACTTGAAAGGAGAGAATACTAATACAATTACCCCCACATAAGAATGCAGACCACAATTAATTCCCCCATTAACTTCAATGTTAATTCTGTCTCTTTGCCCGACTCCAATTGTTTCGTAAATTTTCATTGGGCTGAACATATCTTTGCTACAAAAAGTGTATGAGGTTGACGAATGAAATTTAGAGATACACGAACTTGAAGTAGGATACTAACCCATGTAACTATCCGCGGTACATGTCACCGTAATCAACCTCTTTACCCTGTTATCCTTCCGCCTTTAAACCGTGAATATTTACAACAACCTGGCACAAAATGTTTGATTCTAGACCAAACAATCAACAACAATGGCCATACAAAAGGGAAAAAGTGGGGAAAGTGAGAATTGCTATATTTTGACGAACTGAAAATTTAATTGTGATCTGCCTCCATAACGTTCAGATTTAACAGAACTGCAATCAATTGACGCGGAATTCGAAATAAGAGCAACATATCCCTCATTGCACACTGTATGGCGTATGCCGGTGCAGAAATGTACAGTATAGGACGCTAAATCCCCATTTTTTCGTCCTTTTGTCTTGTTCTTGTTTTCTGACTACACTAACTAGAATATTGTTATTTGCTCACAGGTTCATAAAATGGTTGGATATATTCGGATTGGTTATTGGTGTGTGAAAGACTGGGAGCAGACATTGTTCAGTAAAATCTATGAAGTCTACATGTTTTGTATCATGCTAATTCTACCAATCCTAATCATGATATTTGCCTATGCTAGCATCTGTATAGAGCTCTGGATGGTGACACATAATCGACAAATTTTACAAAACGGAAGGTAGGTACCAGTGCCCCCCCCCCCCCCCGTCCCTTTGTTCTGTGAAATGCCTATTCAACAAATACAAATATATATCAGGCTCCACGGAAGGTAGGTACCGTGACCCTCCCCGTTTTGGGGTTTGATTGTTTTGGTATGGCACTGACTCACTAAGCAGGAGGTCTGGGGTTCGATCATGGTGTTGATTGAGAAAGTTGCCGGGTGCATGGCGAGGCCCCTGGCAAGACACAGTGTCTAGTAGTTCGGGTGGTACGAAAAACCATGGTCATGTACGTGAAAACCCCTTGTAAGTTCGGAATACGAGTAGGCCGCATCCCGGTTGATGCAGAAACGTAGGACATTAATCCCCATTTTTATTCATTTCATTTGTAACTAGAAAAAGTAAGGAGCCGATTCAAACTGGGCACCGTGGCAAACAGCCACACACGTTTATATAATGGAAATGTGCGCGTGGCCGTAATGTATTAAGCGAGAGTCCCGTGTGGCCCCGTTACAAAATAACCTTGTAAACTAGTTTCCATATAACTCAACGTTTACTGCCTTTTCAGTTACATTGGCTAAACATCATTGATTTGGATCAAAACCACAATTGTCGATTTCATTTGGCCAAAAATAAAAGAGGATCTATCGGTTGGAGAATCTTTTTGTTTTTCTCGTGGGGTTTGTGGGTGTAATATTGGACTAGAACTGACTAAAGTAAAAAATAAATCTTTATGTTTTCCACGATTAATCACTCGAAATGAAATGAAATGAAATGGGGTTTAACGCCCTACTGTTCTGCTCCTATACTGGGATAATGAAGACGGGCATACGCCATACAGTGTGATATGAGATAAATTATGCCCGGGGAGTGGCGCTACGGCCTACTCTTATATCGAATTCCAACTGCCAAGGGATCTTTTACGTGCACGCGAATATATACACGGGACCTCGGTTTTTCGTCCCATCCGAACGACTAGACAGCTGTCCTTGTCAGGCCCTCCATCCTGCATCACTGACAAGGGGGAACCAGGGTTGTGGGCTAGACTTAAGCTGTATAACTCTTAGTCACCAAGATCAATCACGTCACAATTTTTATCTACCCAGAGAAAGAGAGAGAGAGAGAGAGAGACGGGGAGGGGGTAACGTCCACTCAACACAACTAGGTTATTTAGGGTTTAACATGTGGTTCCGTTTTATTTCAAAAATTCGCTTACGGGTAGGTGACAGGCGACCCTACACCTTGTCAAATACATGTGTGGCCGCTGGTTATTTAAATTTACATAATGATATATCTTTAATAAGCTTGTCGATTTTATTTTTCTACGTCGCCAGAAATCGAATTATGTACCCCTCGGCGTTCCGCTTCATACAAAACGTGCGCCCAAGAATATAACTGAAACAGAAAAAAAATAAAATGAAATGGGGTTTAACGTCCTATTTTTCTGCAACTACATGACTAATGAAGACGGACACACGTCATACAGTGAGTGTGCTGTGGGGGAAATAAGAAACATATTTCCAAACAGGAAGCCGTGGTTTGTCGGAGTTTTTTGGTTGTTGATTTGTATCGTTGTGTTCTGGAAACGGGAATATAAAGCTTCAACAACCTTAGTTTGGTATTGAAGCCACCATCAATATTCTGCAGATTCGCAAAAACTTCCCATGAAACAGAAACCATATAAGTGTGAATTACGTGGTTATGACATATAGAAATTTGTCAACACTTGCAGTTCTATATTTTTTATTGTTATGTTGGTTTTAGAAATAGAAGTTATAAAACTACCTTGCTCCAGATAATGTCAGGACACCAATACGTTTTACTTCCTTCGTGAAAGACTAGTTTCTTCCAGAACTAACTAAAGTCGGTCTTACATGGCGTGGTTTCCTAATTGTCAGTGGTGCAGGACGGAGGGTAGGGCAAGGATAATTCGTAGTCGTTCGGATGTTACGTAACAGAACCCTTGACAATTGAAATTCGAAATAAGAGTAGACAACGGCGCCGCTGTCCGGGTAAAATTTGCCTCAGAACCCTGCATTGCGTATGCCCGTCTCCATTAGCCCAGTCGGTGCAAAAAAATATTATGTAATTAAACCCCTCACACACTGCGATTTCCGCTATGATTACCAATAACAACCTGTCAGACATGAGTATATTATGGACCGGGTACCGAGTATGACGTCATTGATGCCATTATATTGGAATTGTGACGTTATTTCGAAGCGTAAAACTGCATTTCCTTTAGTACGGATCCGGACGGGCTCCGGTCCGGTTGAGGATACGGAATAAACACTTTCATAGAATTTTAGTAAGAGTGTTTCCTTATGTGCGGGTGCGGATACGGTTCTGTATGCGGCGTCCGGTACGGTTTTTCGAAACGGACCATGTAGCGTTTGGTACGGAAACGCATGCGGAACCGTGTCCGTAAACGCACATAAGGAAACACAGTTTGTATGCTGCAGCCAATATCATCAATGTTTTTTCTTCTTTTACGAACCTTGACAATGCCGGTGCCATGTTGAAAAGAGGGCCCTTCCGCTTGAATAACCGCATATAATGATACACAATCTGCCGTGTGCTATGTCTACTCCCGGACCAGAGCCGGGCCGGAGCCGGACCGGATCCGTACTAAGGGAAATGCAGCTTAATTCTCCAATTAAATTGACGGAGCTTAAAGTTTAGCTTACAACCTACCGTACGTGTTTTAACCCGCACGTGTCATAGGACTTGGTATAGCTCGGAGACCAGCCGCAAGAAACCGGGTGAACATTTTCTATGTGCTGGACCAAAAGTTTCTACGGCCAGTCTGCGATCTTCTACGGTGAAGAACACACGCAAATGCCGCGTAAGTCTCCAGCACGGCTTTACTAAAAAAAATTCCCCGTAGACTGTTCGTAGAAGCACGTAAGGCGGGTTCTGGACTAGGCTTTGGGCTTTCTGAGAGAGAGAGAGAGAGAGAGAGAGAGAGGTGGGGTTTAACGTCCACTCGACACAAACTAGGTCATTTCGGGACTAACATACGGTTTAATTTTATTTACCTAATTCGCTTGAGCGTAGGGGTCTTTAGCAGTGGGAGGAAACCGGAGGACCCGGAGAAAACCCACGAGGTTGGACAGGCGACCCTACTCCTTGCCACGTACAACCGGGAATTCGAAACCACGCCAGTCGACTCAATGACAGACTGTATGATACAGCGCGCGCACGCTCACCATTCAGCCATCCAACCCCCCTGGGCTTTCTTCGAAGAGTTGCTCCCCAATAGGGGAGAAGAACAACAATAGGATAAGTAGCGCTTGGAAACCACTTTTTGGTTATTCTAGGTTCCCACTGTCGTTCGATGCTTTACGATCGGATTGACCCGATCTGGTACGTGCAGATACGTTCGGATACGTTTCGATACGATCAACACGATTGCTACGAATGACCACAATATATGATAAGACCTGAAAGGATCACCACGATTACTCCACGATTAAAACCACGATTTCACTCGTAGCGCGAATCGTGATGGTGGGAACCTGCTAGGTTCAACCTAGCATTAAAGAAAAAAGTCATAGCGTGTGAGAATGCCTGCGATGGGTTTTGTACTTGGATACGATATTTTAACGTAGACAAACGTATCCTATTTTTAAACATAGATACGGGGAGTGTCGTAAAGCATGGAAGATAGGGGAGTGTGATGTCGGATTAAGTACATTTTCTGGTTTATTTTTTTCAGAGACTGTTACACTCAACGACTTGCATCCCCTAAACCAAGCCCCTTTAAAGTGACGTCAGATAAATGTCCAGTGATGAGAAAACAGACTACAATAAAAAAAACATCTGAGGACGATTCAACCAGAAAACAGGTAAATTCCAAATGGTGGACACAGTGGCGTGCAGAGGGGAGGAGTTGGAGAGGATTGACGGCGGTCATCAAAGCTCCTCAGGACACTGGGTGGTCATTGTCTTGCCCCCGGGTGTCGATATAAATCTGCAGACAACTGGTATAAATAATATGATGGACACAGTGGCATGCAGAAAGGGGGTGGGGGACGGCATAGGGGGAGTCGACCACCGCGCGTCACCAAAGCTCTGCACGCCACATTGTCTTACACAGTACCTCGTGTGTCGGTAAAAATCGGCTGTGAACGGGGGGGGGGGGCGATAGGCTCAGTAAGCTTTCTGACCACAGTGAATATTTTACAATAATTATTATATTTTGAAACATTTGCACGACAGGACAACACCCATGCTAAACTTAAGTCCTAAATCAACGATTTTAGCCGAAAACACTAAGCATATTTCGAGAATTTTGAGAAATATATTTTCGGCTTTCATTTAATAAATTTGAAACGGTTTAATCAGTTTTTTGTGTATAACAGGTGTGAACCGCAGTGCGATCGAATTACAAAACAGTATGCTGTAGATATGGCAGAGATCTATTCTCGAAATAGAGAAAATAGCTCTCTGTGTGCAGAATGCACAATACCCGGTCTCACGGGAGTTATCTCCCTTATTACAATTTCAAAGCAAGCAAGGAACTTTCTTGGTCAATTATATCGTTTAAAATTACATCCCTAGCCTATTCATTTTGTACACTAAACCCCGATCCCCCACCCCCACCTGGATAACAAGATGAACCTATAGTTTGGCGATGATCAAACTAAAATATTGTGAAAGTTGGATCTCGTGGTAGCCTAATATCAGCCCAAACATTGTTCAAAGATATAAACAAGATTGAGCCACCTATAAATATTGGGCAAAATCTTTTGATGGTTCTCGTTTTGATCACATTGAAACCAAGCCGAGAGAGAGGCGGCGTTTAAAGTCCACTCAACACAAACTATGATATTTCGAGACTAACATATAGTATACGTTGATTTCCATAATTCCATTTCGATCTGGGATCTCTAGAAAAAAAATCCAAGAGATGAGGCTGGCGACTCTACTCCGTAACACGCACAATCAGGGGATCTAAATGACCGCACTTGGCTCAATGGCTGACCCTATGATCTAAAGCACCGGCGTTAGACAATTCGGCCACCAAACCTCCTTGAATGTTGGGATCGAATGTCTAGGGACTTCGGCCGCCGTCATTTGATGTGACGGGAGACACGATAACAACAAGATCCCGTTTTCGATCCCAGTATTGCCCGAGAAAGTTCTTAGGGAGTTTTCAAGGTAGTGTTCCCTTGTCAGGTTACAGGACGTCACCTAATCCTTCGGATGGTCCAATAAACCGAGCACCCGTTTTCACTTTGGCATGCACGTAAAATAATCCTTGACAGTTTGAATTCAATGAAGAGTAGGTTGTAGCGCCGTTGTCCAGACAAATATTTCCTCACAACACACAGCATGGCGTATACCCGTCAACATTAGCCCAAGATTCAGTGCAGAGCAGTAGGTCATTAAACTCCATTTCATTTTATTTCATGTCAAAGGGTGTTTAACGAACATGAAACAGCTGGGCCGCCCATCTCCACCACCTCGGCTAAATTCCTTTATATCTCTGTTTATATTTTTCAGGTAATTAAGATGTTGGTAGCCGTCATCATCATCTTCATCGTTTGCTGGGCACCGATACTGACCAATAACTTACTTACGTCCTTCAACGTTCTGCATCCTTTAAACTATGGGTACCTAAAGCCCATGAGATTAGCGTTTTATCTTTTATCGTACGCCAACAGTTGTGTTAATCCTATCATTTACGGATTTATGTCCAAAAAATTCCGGCAGACATTTTATCATTCACTGTGTACCTGTATCCGAGGAAAGGAATATGTCCGGAGGAAATACTTTATGCGTCAGAACTCCATGCAGACCCGTTCCACCATGTATGCTTATGGCCGCAGTCACACGGAACTTGAAATGTCCAGAACATGTGATCCACAATACGGGTCCTTCCAAGACGTGTAACTTTTAAACACCCAAACCGATTTAATGGTTGGAGCTGTAGACAGGGGCAATAACTCCTGAATTAATAACCAAATCTTGTGGAAACTTTCTATGGTGACAGGATCTTGTGTTGACTCTGTCGTCCGATTTCTTGTTGCATTGTTGCTGTATTATCACCATCGCACTAATAATCCTGCGATTTATTTCGCTTGATAAATGGTTTAGATATGGCGTTAATCTTATGTGAGCTGAAATATTATTCATAAACAAATGACTTTGACTGCTCAGAGAGTTAGGAGTTGGTTTACTAATCCGGAGATCATTGTAGCATATTTGAGCCACGGCCAATGTGAGTTGACCAAGTGCTTCACTTCTGGACATCCGCGGAGGCTCAGAGACTAAAGCACTGACTCAATCCCGCTGATTCTCTAGACCTTCCAGCATGGTTTCTTCTTGCCTTTGGTGCAGGACGGAATGTAGGTAGAAACGCCACTCCCTGGGCAAGTTTTGTCGCGCATGCCTGTCTTTATTATCCCGGTTGATGTAGAGAAGTGGGACGTAAAACCCCATTTCATATTTCACCCAGTCTCAGTAAATCGCATATTTGGATTGTCTCTTAGAAACTCCTCAGAGTGAATAAAAAACGCCTAGTAACAGCTGCGATTATTTTGTGATCATTGACGTTCGTGTAGAATTATATGTTTAATTGCATGAAAGCGTTCATAAAATTGAACAACTAACAATAACCAATCGTTATTTTCAATAAACGAGTAATGGTCTTTGTCTCAATTATTGTCGGCTAAATCACTGCCCTGTTCTTAACGAATGGAGTAGACGCAATTAGGCAACAATTTTATTGTCTTGGGACAAGCAAATTGTTTGGAGAAAAGGGGACCGCCGGAATTGTTAGTTCACGGACCGGAGCAGCTTGTTGTTGGAATTGGAACATGAAACAACCGTCGATTGTAACCTGTGACTGCAGCGTAGAGAAACTAATAAAGTTATAGAATTGAAAAAGTGCTCAGTTATTGACAATAGATGTAATATTAGAAATACAAGATGTTGTTGATATTTCGTTTCGTTTCGTTTTGTTTTCATTCTATTTTTAATTTGTAACTTGATCATATCGTTTTATGGAGCTAACCTTTAACGCAGTGGTGGGATTGACTGCCCATATGGGGACCACGTGGCTAAGTGGGTAAGACGCTGGCTCGCTAGCCTGGAGGTCGGGTGTTCGATCCCTGCATTGGCCGAGAAAGTTCATCCAGATTTTCCGGCGTGGTTTTCCCTTGTCAGTGATGCAGGACGGAGGGCCTGACAAGGACAGCTGTCTAGTCCTTCGGATGAGACGAAAAACCGAGGTCCCGTGTATACATTGTAATGCACGTAAAAGATCCCTTGGCAGTTGGAAATCGATATAAGAGTCGGCGATAGCGATAGTACCGCTGCCTGGGCAAAATTTCCCTCATAGCACACTGTATGGCGTATGCCCGTCTTCATTAGCCCAGTATAGGAGCAGAACAGTAGGACGTTAAACCCCATTTCATTTCATTTTCATTTCATTTGACTGACCATATCTGGTCGAAAGTATGCCATTGGTTGAAAATGGTATTACTGAAAGAAAGCGGACCTAGGTTTCAATTATTGTTGTTGCTAAGGCATTAACTGGAATCTGTGACCATGTTATTGACGAGATATATGGCCACAGATCACTAAAGATTTCCCCATTGACTTTAATGTTAATTCTCGTATCTTAGACCGGTTCTAACCTTTTCCCAAATTTTCGTTGGGTAGAACGCTTTCTACCACAGATGGAGCAACATGTGGCAACTTTTGCCCAAAAGCACGTATGAGGTTCTTCATGAAAAACTTGAAATACAAAAGCTGGAAGTAGAGACTAGTAAACATGCATTTTTAGGCCCTACATTTCAACCTAACCAACCTCTCAACTCTAGTATCCTTCCGCATCAAAATTATGAATATTCACCAAAACCTGGTAGAAAATGTATTTTCAAACCCTTTTCCTCAATTCTACACCAAAAAGTCAACAAAAATCGACATGCAAAAGGGGGAAAAGGAAAAGGGAGAGGAAGACTAAAAATAGCTTTGGCCCTTGTTTCGTAGGAATATTTGGTGATCTGTGTCATATATATGCCAGTCATTAAGGTCAGATTTCTTCTCGGTCCACTCAATGTGGACGGTAACCATCGTGACGAAGAATACGTTGAAAATGAAACTAGCCTGATTCACCTGTCCGGCACCCCAACTAAAGATCATTTTTCAGTGGATGCGAAGATGAATTTTTATTTCATTTTAAACAAACATACTGTATGTCAATATTGTTTTCCAATCGAGGCCGATGGGCCCCTGATCCCTCTGCTCCCAGTTCGCCCCTGGAATAGTTCATTATGATGAAATAGACTGGAGTATAATAACGGTATAAGATAACTAGTATTCCCATGGACAGGAGGCAAGTCAGATATTGGTATAGAAAAATGTGTTCTTCGAGAACCTAATTTAACGTCATAAATGTTAGTGGGATTGGATGGCCGAATGGTTAGCGCATGCGCGTTGTATCATAAGGTCTGTCATTGAATCAACTGGTGTGGTTTCATTTCCCCGGTTATACGTGACAAGGAGCAAGGTCGCCTGTCCAACCTCGTTTATTTTCACCGGGTCTTCCGGTTTCCTCCTACTGCTAAACACCTCAACGCACAAGCGAATTACTGAAATAAAATTCGAACCATATGTTAGTGCCGAAATGACCCAGTTTGTTTCCAATAGACGTTAAACATACAAGCTACACCTTTAAGTACATGGGTGCATGTTTTCCATCTGGATGTTGAACCCTTGAATAAAAGACTTTATTTCTGTGTTACAGTTTGTCCAGATATAAATATAGTGGTATAATATTGAATATTACACCTCACGGGGATGGCTGTAAACATAAGTAAAAAATATACTGTCATTAGTGCCCCTCCCCCTTATAAATGTTTACTCCGGCCAAGTTGGTCGTTTACATTTTACGGGATATGGCGTCGGGTCAGTCGTCCCCAAAACCTACGTCATATTTTCTTGTGAAGTTAGGGTATAATAATGTATGAACCTTCGTGAACGCCCCTCCAAAACCCACCCCACCGCCTTTATGAAGCTGTGCGGGCAAAAATTTCTCTGTATGACGTATACCCATCTTCAGTAGAAAAGTCAGTGCAGGAAAGCAGGACGTCAAAGCCAATTTAATTTATTTCATTTCTCTCTGTGTGTATATCTACTCGAATCACCTTTATGAAGCTGTCCGGGCAAAATTTTCTCTCTGTGGGTATATCTACTCGAATCGCCTTTGTTATTTTTTGCTTGGCTGTATTTAATTGTTTTAAAATGAAATTATCCGGGATAGCTATATGTATGTATATAAATTATTAAATAATTAAATCTGATTCAAATTCACTAAAATGTTTTTATCATTTTTATCATTTATAATTGTATATATAAATATAGAGAGAGATAGAAAGAGAGATAGAGAGAGAGAGAGAGAGAGAGAGAGATAGAGAAGGGAGAGAGAGAGAGAGAGAGAGAGAGAGAGAGAGAGAGAGAGAGAGAGAGAGGAGGTTAACGTCCACTCGACACAAACTAGGTCATTTAGGGACTAACATATGGTTCTTTTATTTCAATAATTCGCTTTCGCGTAAGGGTTTTTAGCAGTGGGGGTGCACGCTGCATCATAAGGTCTGTCATTGAGTCAACTGGCATCGTTTCGATTCCCCGGTTGTGCGTGACAAGGAGAAGGGTCGCCTGTCCAACCTCGTGGGTTTTCTCCGGGTCCATCGGTTTATTCCCACAGCTAAAGACCTCTACGCGTAAGCGAACTATTGAAATAAAATTGAACCATATGTTAGTCCCGAAATGATCCTCTTTGTGTCGAGTGGACGTTAAGCCCCCCCCTCTCTCTCTCCCTTCTCTCTCTCTCTCTCTCTCTTTCTCTCTCTCTCTCTCTCTCTCTCTCTCTCGGTAGACATAGAATATTATCACCTCTCTTTACTCGGCATACATGAAGTGTACCCACCCCTTCCCACATACACACACATGCGCGCACAATCATGTCTATAAACTTTCGGGATCCGCGGTGGCAAATGCAGATTGTTAGTTGTTATGTCTGGTCGGATCTTTTTGACTGGCTAAGACTAAGTCCTGCCATTGATTTCATGCCCTTTGGTGTAGAATTCAATAAGGTTTTGGAAAATTTTTATGAATTTGAGGTGGAGGGGTCAGGACATAAACAGACATTGATATTTAGATCAGACACAAAAATAACACCAGGGCCTATAACCCCTTTGACAAGGTCTAGTAAAAAAAATGAGGTGGTCAACCCCTTTCAATGTTTTTATCAGATGATTGTGACATGTTGACCTCTTTTTGGTTATAAAGATTAAAATCATCGGAATGTTCAAAAATATGTCATAAGCCAAGGAAGTTAACGTGAATGGGATTACTAGTCTGAAACCTGACCAAATTGGAGGGTATTCTCCCTTTACCCACCGAAAGTCATATACATATCATAATTTGATAAGTTTAGCAAATAAATCCCATGATCATTTTTGGACTCCAAGCTCTACCCACTTGTTTTTTCTTCTTGGGGTCAACGATCGATTGACATGAAACATGTAGGTCTATGTTCATAAATATGGCTGTGATGACGTGTTGTTCAGTTACTGGTCCACATAGTAGCCTACGCTCGTGTATGTCCTTGAATGATCGTCACAGTAAACAGAAGTTCGAAGACATCAATAACAAGACAATTAGATAAGTTCACAGTTACTCGGTTAACCAGTCATTATATAGTCCAGAACAACAATTAGTCTGGATCCCGTCTACACATACAATTAAGCATTATCTTTAAATTCTATTTAGGCCTATAATATTGATGGTGACCATCTTTCTAACATCCGAGTAAAAGATTACGTTTCTCGTCTAATTTCTCTCACTATTAAATTTGCTAGAATTCCATTTTGAAAGAGAAACAGTGTAGTCGTGCGGATGGGACGAAAACCCGAAGTCCCGCGTACACGTCGGCATGTACGTAAAAGAACTCGAAATAAGAGTTGGCCGTAGCGCCGCTGCCCGAGCAAATGTCCCCCATAGCATACTGCATGGTGTATGCCCGTTTTCATTAGTCCGGATGGAGAAAATAAAGTAGGACGGTAAACCCCATTTTATTCTCCATTTTAAACTTCTCGCCAACAGAATACGCCGGTCAGAGGGTTTTTTTGTACGTCTAAATGTGTTGACATTGGTTTTTCGTCCCAGTCGAAGGACTAGACAGGACATTAAATATGAAAATGGAAGCAGAATAAATTCTCAAAGTATACTTAGTCGATGTAGGAATTGAAATGGCCGAATGGCTAGTACGTGCGCGCTATATCATAAGGTCTGTCATTGAGTCAGCTGGCGTGGTTTCGATTCCCCGATTGTACATGACATGGAGTAGGGTCGCCTGTCCAACCTCGTGGCTTTTCTCCGGGTCCCCCCCCCACTGCTAAAGACCCCCAGGTGCAAGCGAATTATAGAAATAAAATTGAACCATATGTTAATCCCGAAATGACATAGTTTGTGTCGAGTGGACGTTAAACCCCATCTATCTATCTCTCTCTCTCTCTTTCTCTCTCTCTCTCTCTCTCTGGTGAACAAGTATGTAGGCCAGTAGGCTATATTGCACCTTGTACACGATACTCACAATAGCTGCTTATAACCCGTTTAATGCAACTGTTACTTAATAATTCAACGAAGCTCTGTCAACTTTCCCAATAATTCAATTGATACATGGCGGAAGTGAATTATTAAAATACAAGTGTAACATATGTTAGTCCCGAAATCCTGGTTTGTGTTGATGGACGTTAAACCCCATTTCTCTCTCTCTCTCCCTCTCCCACTCTCTCTCTCTCTCTCTTGAAATTTCAGCCGTGATATTGAGGGGTAAGATAACTGGGGTTTAACGTCCATTCGACACAAACTAGGTCATTTCCGGACTAAAACATGGTTCAATTTTATTTCAATAATTCGCTTGCGCGTAGGGTCTTTAGCAGTGGGAGGAAACCGGAGGACCCAGAGAAAACCCACGAGGTTGGTCAGGCGGACCTACTCCTAGTAACGTACAACCGGGGAATCGAAACCACGCCAGTTGAATCAATGACAGACCTTATGATACAGCGCGCACGTGCTAAACATTCGGCCACCCCCCCTGAAATTTCAAACATATTTTCAAAATACTTGGTGCCTTTAATATCACAGTTCTCATAATGAAAATTATAAATTATAACCACATACGTTACAGAAAGAATGTACATAATTGTTTTTGTTGATTAAGAAAATTTTAAAAGAATAACCGTTAAATAATAGATTCTAGTTGTCAGAACTGAAACCAGAACCAGAATCAGAACACGTTTCTGTTTCGGCGTCGGACAAATCAAAAACATCCATGTCAACTCTGTCCGCCTTTTTCCCCTTCGGTCTGTTTCCAATTTCTGGTTCAGAATCAGATGATTGGGCTGTTGATGATTTAGGTTTGTCCTGATAACTGTAATCAAGTTCGTCGGAGTCGGTACCGTAGTCGGTACTTGAATCACTGTTAACGTCTATTTGAACGTCTTGATTACCGGAATGATTAGCTACAGTCGTGCTAGTGGTACCACTCGAACCACTTGATCCACTTGATTCACTGGTGGCACTAAAAATACTGGCGGGTTTGTTCACATCAAGTTCCATCATATCGGTAGCTGTAGCGTCTTTAGCAATACCCATGAATCCTTTAAAAGCCAACATGGTGTTGCTGTAGCGCTTGGCCTTTCGAATCTCGTCCAATCTCTCTTGTCTCTCCCGCGCTTTTATCTGCATGCCCAAGATGTAAAACTCGTCGTCGCTTGAGTCTCTCTCCTCGCTAATATCCGAGTTATCACCATAATCGATAGGGTTCATACAAACTGTACATATGTTATTCAAGTCCGCAAAACATTCTAAACAATACACAGCGTCACAACCAGGACTGTCACAATGCTGGAAGTTATCATAATCCTGTAGACGACCTTCCTTAGCACAGCTTAAACACATCTTTTTCTCATATCCGAAGAACTTCATAACTTTACCCAAAAATGGAAATTGAAGAGCTAAACGTGCTTTTAGACTGATTTTATGACTTTCTTTGTCTTTTTTGTATTTTCTACGGACTTGGCGCCTCGCCATCACCAAGAATTTCCCACGCATTTTAACGATGCGATTGTATAACCAAACTGCTCGAGCTTGCTCTCGTCTGGGATAATAACAACCAGCAATAATATGACGTAATCGAAGTCCGTACGACTCAAAAATAGTCATGAACAGACAGATAATAAACATGGCTAGAACCATCTTATAGACTTTAAAATTAGGAATTCCTGGATTTGGTAGACACGGTGTGGTATCAATACTCAATCGTTCAGCAGATACTGGATCCAGCAATCCAATCATAGCTCGATACATATCCGCCATCGCTCCACCACCCTGCACATGGAGCTTGAGATGAGCAGGTACTTCCGGGTTCACCTTCAATTCGAAATGTTTCTCAATTAATTTCAGTATCCAATACAAACTGTAGTCGCAGGCGATGTAAAACATAGCATGACACGCACTAAACGCAAGCATCAACACTCCCTTGATCATTTTCTTTCGTTCTTTTTTCGCTAATCGGATGCTAAACGTGCTTATGTATTTGCTAGTTTCCTTACCAGTCAGAGGAAAGATGGTTTCCATGCCCTTTTCAGCGCGTTTCTCATCAATGAAATTAAGAATGTCATTTAAATAGATATTATCAAATTTATCGGCTGTGAGGTATTTATGTCTGTAAAGCGCAGCGCGAATAAATACAGTTGCGAATGTAAATACGAGAATTACTTCAGCAAGGGTGATAACTTTGGTCACAACTGACATCCGCCCTTTGATTTCCTGCATAATCTCCTTTTTGATGTCACCGTAAGATTTTGACTGTTCCATGGTCAGGTTGTAATGGTAGGTCAGTGTTACATTAAAATAAAACATATTGTAGATGTTTCTGATCGCTTTGTTAACCGGGGCGCCAATTGAATTCGTGACAAAATTAGCCACAGCTTCGATCACAATACACAACAACTCTCCAACACGGGCTATGTGGCAGACATTTTGAATAAGATCAACGATGTTGCATATAAAATCCATAAATCCCAATTTGGATCTACAATCAGCCGCAGCTTTGTCGAAAGCCGATTTACACTTTTTATAAGGCGCGCCCATATTCTCATTACAGATCCCTGTTATGCCTTTGAGCCACGAAAAAATCCGACTAATCGCAGCACAAATTTCAGTTATAGCCCGTTTCATAGCCATAAACGCCCGTCTCATAGCGTTAGCAAAACGACTGATCGATCTTAGCATTTCTTGTAAACCATCAATAATGGACGCAACGGGCGATGCCGCTGCCTTAATGAGTTCCTTAGTTTCGTTCAACGCCATATTTTGACCACACGTAGCGCTTTCAGACATCACCATTATATTGTGTGTGAAGTTCTGTACTGGATGGGTCATCACCAGAATCATGGCCGACATCAGAATAAACGATCTCCCTTTGCTAGAGAAGAAGTTTGGTAGCGTTAGGAATACCATGCACCGTACAGCATCAGAGAAAGCCAAGCCGAGAGAAAACACTGTTCCAAATAAGGATCCAAGGCCAACACACACCATCATGTTAAACTCCAACTGAAACGCCATCATGAGATAGAGCATGAAAGATAACACTATTCCACCGAAAAATCCCGTAATATTTTTAAACACTTCATTATGGTACGTACCCACAGTCATAGTCAACCCACAACAAGACAACGGTTGGCAGCAACAAAACTTTAACTTCTTCCGACGCATATGAATAACACAAGGACAAAAGGCTTGCAGGAGCGTCTGTTTCACACATTTCATACAGTTAATATACATGTTTTCATAAAACGGCCGTAATGGCGGCAAACCAGCAAGCCCACGAATAGCATTTATTTTCGCTTTCTCTAACCTGTTAACCGCCATCTTAAGCTTGATAGCACTTATAACCATCTTAGCTTGCGCCATCTTGATTTCTTGTTATGTTATCAGACCCAATATAAAATTAATATCAGGAAATTTGGCATTAATTCTAAACGTGTCCTTCTTTCTGATGCTATCATACAGTATCCACCTGCCACTACGTCTGCTATGTAGAATATGACCTCACAGTGACGTCATGGAGCCGATGACGTCATTTAATGGCGAGTCCATCTCGTTGTCTTCCCCGGCAAAAACTGGTATACAAAAACCGCATGTATCTTACATACAACTGTCGTATTAGTATTTATCTTGTTTAATACAATGAATACAACATGGGACCTCGGTTTTCCGCCCCCTCCGCGCGACTAGACTGTTTTCCTTGCGAGAGGTCTCCGTCCCCTGACCAAGGGAAATCACACTCCCTTACTCACTAAGCCACTGTGACTCCCTTGTGTAATATAGTAAAAATGCAGTAGACTATGCATCGATCAGGAAGGGCGATCAAATTGAAAATTCATAAATACAAATACCCCAAAACAAATGTTCTAACAAATTAATAATCGATATTAGGATTGTGGCAATTTTATTTGTGCCAGGATAGAATCCACCAAAGTTTAAAGGAGCTAAGTCGCTAATATTTGGGACCTAGAAATTGACACAAATGGGTCGCAGCGCATACAATAATGTAATATGAATGTATATAAATTGATTTACATTCAAACGTTTCTGTTTTTACTGTAATTTTTAATCAGTTAGGTTCGGCGAGATACGCCAGCATTTTCAATCGAATTTCAATCTCTAGCGCCTGGTTATTCCAATCTACGCCGATATTATTTATTGGGCTTGCTCTCCAGATAAGAATATAGCGTCACCGTTTGACATGACTTGTGGAATATGCCTAGCCTCGTTTTTCGAGTCCCTTATTACAAATAGCGCCGAAACGCATTATGGTACACGATTCGTGTACCAATTGTAAAATGTTTATTTTGTCTTAAATATTGGATATCAGAAGGCCATCTTTTCCCGGTAAGATCACGACATCAATGTTGATTTAAACCGACAAATAAATCGTGTTTTCAATGTCGAAGATTTTGAATGATATTGAGTTAGAGACTTAGCTACTTTAACGAAATATTAGAAATACACAAAACACATACTTATGGAAAAACAGCTACTTATTTATTTGGGCGATATTTCGAAGAGTATTCTCTCAACGTTATCAAGCTAATACAGTGATACAAAAAAAAATATGAGTTCAATATATTGTAGCAGTGCAGGGGCGCCGGAACTCGTGTACCAGGGTATGCAAATGGTACCCTGCCCCTTTCTGGGGTATACATGTATACCCATGCCCTAATGATGAAAGTTTTCAACCTTGCGACATCTGAAAACCTGGACAAGGTCCACGATGTCTCAGAATTCTCTAAACAATCGACTATTTGCCAAAATTCACAAGTTGAGAATGGACGAAACAGATATTGTAAAAAATTACCTGAATTTATTGAGAAATCTGATCAGCGCATCAATTATTTTGGTCGATTATAGTCTCATTATAGTGTCTCGTCAACACTTGCTCCTGAATATGAGCTCTTGCAAGAATCGTGTCTCTAAATCTACTGTAACGTTCAATAAGCTTATTCTATTTTCTCGATGAAGATTGGTGTATTGAATGTCAAATTAAAAAGAATATTTTTTATGAGATGAATTGCTCATGATACGAGAATTGTGAATAAACAGGCTTTTTTCTCTTTCATTATCATGTATTTTAAAGGGTTTTATGTTGGAATTTGGAATGCTAGAGGCGCTCTAAACAACGTTCTCGGAATTGACAAATTTCAAAATTTTCTAGAGGCAGGGGGGACAGACCTCCCTATCTTTTGGTACCCTGGCCCTCGCGCCGTTCCAGCGCCCCTGTAGCAGTGTAAATCTTCGGTAATAAATACACACTAGAATTATCCTTTAAACTGTTTAATACCGGAAAACATAACATATCATATACACAGAACAGCACTTTCTACAGACAGAGTGACTGTCCTTTTTTTATATTTATATATTAATGTTTATTGATGATCATGGCTTTTTTTTTATACATGATTAGATTGCTTTATTATATTTTCATCTAAAGCATTTCAGTATATATATGGCTTCTTCTATCAATATTAAAACTTAAAAAAAAACATTCTTTCAAAGTCAGTTCAAAATGATTTCAACTCAAATAAGTTAAGATTATTCCTTTGCTTTCAGTATATAGCTTGTTCTATCAATGTTAAAACTTAAAAAAAACATTCTTTCAAAGTGATTAGTTCAAAATGATTAAGATTATACCTTTGCTTTCAGTATATGGCTTGTTCTATCAATATCACAACTTAAAAAAAAAACATTCTTTCAAAGTCAGTTCAAAATGATTTCAACTCAAATAAGTTAAGATTCTTCCTCTGCTTCTAAATTAATATTGGTACCAAATTTGGCATAAAGTTGAACTTTTATATCTGCTAATATCCGTTTATGTGTACCAACATTTTCTCCTAAGTTTTTGATGTCTTGCAATGTCTGTTCTTTGCCGTTTTCTATCATTCTTGTAGCATCATCTATATTACAACTTATAAATATTTCACCTATTTGATATGGAATTAATTCGACTGAATCTAACAATACCAGTTCATCTGTAGCATCTTCTAAATTCTGTACTTCTTTCTTTTTTGCAACAATTTCTTCCTTAATATCTTGTAATCTGGCATTGTATCTGGCAAATCTATTTATTTTTTGTTGATCTTCAAATGTCACCTGAACATCATTTTCCGTATCTGGTGAAAGGGTTGCCATTGTTTTTGCTTGAAACTATTATCCAGTAGCCTAGTTTCTGTTCTGAAAAACACAAAAATAGCATGCACTTATCTAATCGACAAGATGGCGTAGTCCTGGAAACGGGGATAAGACTTAGAATCTTGAATGAATATACAATTCGGTATTTAAAGAATGGTATGTTTAGATAACACAGAGAGAGAGATAGAGAGAGAGAAATGGGGTTTAACGTCCAATCGTCACAAACTAGGTCATTTGGGGACTAACATATGGTTTAATTTTATTTCAGTAATTCGCTTGCGCGTAGGGGTCTTTAGCAGTGGGAGGAAACCGGAGGACCCGGAGAAAACCCACGAGGTTGGACAGGCGACCCTACTCCCTGTCACGTACAACCTGGGATTCGAAACCAAACCGGATGACTCAATGACAGGCCTTATGATACAGCGCGCACGTGCTAACCATTCGGCCATCCACCCTCCCCCACCCTTTAGATAACAGTAATTAACTAGACTAAAATAAACCATATTGTTGTAATAAATCTTAAAATGGATCGAGTTGATATTACAAAAAATACTTAGGAAAATGAAAATAATCATGAAAGGTTTAACAAAGGCCGTCTTTCCACCAGTACTGAATAGAGAGAGTTGGGATGATGAAAAACACAATATTTAAATCCATCATAAGCACTAGGTAGGAATATCCCTGTGTCGCGGTTAAAGGGTCAATCCCGATAATATTTTGGAGAATAAAACTTCTTAATTTTGTATTAAAATCCCTTAAATCCTCAATCTCAGGGTCAAGCAACTAACTCAATG